GGGAGGAACAGACCCTGGGTCTCTGGGGCTTTCTGTCCCAACAGATGAGGTTCAGTCCTTTGGAGTTGCTGTGGCACGCCTGCAAAGCTCAGATGGCGGGGTCCACTTTGGGGCTGGCTTACAGGGGCCGGGTCAGCCCCTCTGGGCACCAACCCCAGGGAGCGTGTCCTCCCCGCTCTCCCTTACCCCTGTCTCCTGCTGTCCCCACCGCGGCGGGCCAGGTTCCCCCAGCCCTGCTCCTGGCCCCGGTGGAGGGCCGCGCCTACCATGGGGCCATCCCATCTCCTTGGCCGGGGGCTCTCTGCCATCCTGAGCTGCCTTCTCTGTCCCCATCACCACAGCACCAACCGCTGTTCTCCCGGGGACGGCCCTGCAAAGGGTGTGCCTCCCGAAGGGCGAGGGGAGACAGGAGGATGCTGGCAGAGAGGACAGATTGAGGTGGTCCTTGGGGCCGGCTCACGCTGGTGCCGGCTGGGCCCTGCGGCACGCTGGCCTCACGTGGATAGCCGCGGGAGCTCAACCCGGGGCCGCCGTGCCCATTGAGGCAGCAGGGCCCTCCTCAGTACCCTTCAGGGGCTGTTCTGGGCTTGCATCCCTGACTGCGTTGTTGGGTTGAGAGCCCGCCTGAGGAGCCGCAGAGAACCCTCTGCAGGGATTGTCTGGCTTCCCGGAGACCAGACTGCTGGCCTCGCGCCCTCACCTCTGCCCTCCCAGGGCTGAGCCACCCCCCAGGGAGGATTTTTGGTACTCTGGGGCAGGTATAGTAGTGTCAGGGTCTGGCCTCGCCAGGCACAGGTAATCTCTCTGTGCCTTTTGTTGCAGGAATGGGCAAGGAAGTGGGGAACCTGCTGCTGGAGAACTCACAGCTTCTAGAAACCAAGTAAGGACTCCTGTCTGGCACAGGGCTTGCTGAGATGGCCCTCCCCCAGGGCCGGGCCTCCCTGTAGCAACCCGGAGCTGTGACCTCTCAGCCCCTTGGAGGCCCCCATCATAGCGAGCAGGCTGGCTCACGCAGAGCCCTCGTCTTTCTGCCTTTCCAAAGAAATGCTCTGAACGTGGTGAAGAATGACCTCATCGCCAAGGTGGACCAGCTGTCCGGGGAGCAGGAGGTGCTGAAAGGGGACCTGGAAGCTGCCAGACAGGCCAAAGCCCGGCTGGAGGGCCGCATCAAGGACCTGGAGGAGGAGTTGAGGAGGTGAGCGTAGGCCTGGAGGCTCCTGGGAGGAGGAGGGGCCAGGCCCGCGCCCCCACCCCAGTCCTCTCCTCCCCCGGGCGGCAGCCTCACCTCCTCTCTGTTCCAGCTCACTTGTGGGCCTCCTCTCCCCATCCTCCCGGGAGTCCCCCAGGAGGCATGGATGTCGCGCCTTGGGTGTCCTGCCACTCTCGTGCCTTATGTTTATTGAGGAGGAGGGAGTTCAGGCACCCAGGAAGCTCTGGGGTCCCCTCCCCAGCACTCTGCACCTCCCTGTGGCTTCTCTTCCAGCCTGATGCTCATCTGAGGGGTGCCTGTAGCTCCAGACCGGAGTGGGGGTGTGACGGGGGGGGCGGGCAGGCGGCGCTTGTCGGGCCTGCAGGTGCCGCACACCTGTCTGGGGCCGGCCTGCGGCCCTGCCACCTGTGCACGTGGCCCTGCCTGCCCGTTAGCCAGGCCCCACGGCCCTGCTGGGCAGCCAGGAGAGACATCTGGGCTTCCGGGCGTGAGCTAGCAGGGCTGTGGGCTTCCGCCCCCCGTCCCCACAGTCACATTTCCCTCCTCGTCCTGCAGAGTGAAGTCAGAAGCCATCATCGCCCGCCGCGAACCCAAAGAAGAGGTGGAGGATGTAAGCAGCTATCTCTGTACAGAATTGGTATATTCCACTATTAACATGCGGGGCAGGGGGGGCGGGTGGTGCGGGGTGGGCTCCCGGGGCGCGCTAATTCTCTGGGTCTCTGGGCCCTCCTCATCCTTCCTCTGTCAGCTCCTCTGCCCCTTCTTAGTGGGAACCCCCGTTTGGCCTGTGGGCCCCCTCTGAGGTGCAAGGAATGTTCTCAGGAGCCCTCTGCTCCTTGGGGGTTCATACCTGACATGCAGGGAATGTTTGTAGGGGCCTTTGCCCGTAATTCGTGGACCCCTTCTGGCCTCCTTTCCGGAATAGAGCCCAGGTCTGGTGACTGGGCCGCTTTCCTGCAGGAGAGGGTGGGGCCCAGCTCCTCGTCCCAAAGTGAGTGGTGCGTCCTGGCCGCACCTCTTGTCAGCTCTTAGCTTCGGGGGTGTCAGGGTGCTGCTCACGTAGCAGCCATCCGAGACGCAGTAGGTGCTCCTTCAGCCCAGCGAACCCCACCCCCAGGAGCAGAAACAAAGGTGCGGGTGAATCGTGGAGCCACGGGAGGCATCAATCGGGGCCCGTGCCTCCTTGCGTGGGGCCGGGGTCTCGTGCTCCGTGGCCCAGCAGCTCCCCCTGGCCCCTCACCCCTGTGCCAGACTGTAGCAGCCCAGGACACAGCTCCTCGGAGCGGACTTGGTCCTGCCACAGCACCCACAGACGGCAGACCCCACACATCTGCCAGAACCTCCCACGTCCTATTCGGACGTGTGACCCCAGGTCCTGCTCACTGCACCTTCCCTAGAACCTGTCTTCCCATGGTTCCACCTGGGACCGGCCTCACCTGTTAGCGTTGACGGACGGTTTCACCTGGGATCGCCAGGGTGTCCAGGGGCCGTGTCGTAGCCCTCAAGTGTATCGTGTGACCTTTTGGGGGCGGGCAGGCCCCCGGCATCTCCTGCCCCCTGCCCACACCCTCCCCGCCACGTTTCCTGAGGCTCCGTGGGAACCCGCCCTGGGATTTGCCCACACCTGGGCCGGCCCGGCGAGGAAGCGCAGTGTGAGTCGGCCAGCAGGCCCCTCGCTGGCTGACCGGCAGCGCCCCCCTCCCCCCCCAGGACAAGATCCCCATGGCGCAGCGCCGCCGCTTCACGCGGGTGGAGATGGCGCGTGTGCTCATGGAGCGGAACCAGTACAAAGAAAGGCTGATGGAGCTTCAGGAGGCCGTGCGGTGGACCGAGATGATCAGGTGGGTCCCCCAGGCTGCCCTTGGGGTTCTGGAAGGCACCCCCATCTCCTTTTGTGATCTGTGACCCCCAGAGGAGGCCCTGACGGTGGGATTGAGTTTGGTCTGCACCCCAGCCCCATGTCTCATAGGAGGACTGGAGGGACCTCATGGGAGCTGTTTGGGGGCCCCGACCCGGCCAGGGGCTAGAGCTGGGCTGGGGCATGTTGGGCCTGGTGTGCTGGAACCCCTAGGGGGATTTGAACCAACCCATGCAGGGACCCCTCTTCCCCGAGGCTCCATTCCTGGCCACGGGGAGGGCCCCCTCCCCGCCCCACCCCCTGAGAAGGTCCTGGGCAAGCGAAGCCAGAGAAGTCCAGCAACAGCGGTGCAGGGTTTGACTGGGTAGGGCCCAGAGGGGGTGTGGTGTGTGGGCAAGTCCACTGGACGCTGGCCAAGCGGGGCTCCTTCCCGGCCCCTCCCCGCAGAGCATCCCGAGAGCATCCGTCTGTCCAGGAGAAGAAGAAGTCCACCATCTGGCAGTTGTGAGTTGGGGCGCCGGGGTGGGGTGGGGGCAGGGACGGCTCCCCACTGGCCGCCCCTCACTTCCCATGCCTCCGCTGGCAGCTTCAGCCGCCTCTTCAGCTCCTCCTCCAGCCCCCCTCCGGCCAAGCGCTCCTATCCCTCGGTGAACATTCACTACAAATCACCCACCACGGCCGGCTTCAGCCAGCGCCGCAGCCATGCCATGTGCCAGATCTCGGCTGGCAGCCGGCCTCTGGAGTTCTTCCCCGATGAGTGAGTGTCTCCCACTGGCCTGCGTGGGGGCGGGGGGCGAGGAGGACACATGTGTCCCGGGGCCTCTCCCCTCTGGGCTCCGAGGCAGGAGCCTGAGGCCTGTGCTGGGGGCGGGGTCCCTGCTGGGAAGGAGGCTAACCTCTCTGTGCCCACACCCTGACGGGGCGCCCCAGGTGTCCCTCCCCTCAGTCCCTGCACAAAGTCTCTCAGCTGTGCTCCCCTGCCCTGGGGGACCCCCCCAACCCCGCCTGGCCTGTGCACCTGCGCCCCACAGGGACGCTTGGAGCTGATGGGAAGTTTACCAGCAAGGGTAGCTTTCTTCCGGGGAATAGGCGTTCTTCGCAATTTTATGTTTTCCTTAGTTTTGATACCAAGAATCTGGCTCCAGGGCAGAAGTGGGGAATTCTGTGTCTTGCATCAGAAGACTGACGTTGCCCTGTTAAGGGTTGGGGGCGGGGGGGGGGCACCTCAATGCAGGGCCCGGCCAGCCAGCCCTCGGTGGCAGCAACGGCCGAACGGGCACCGGGGCACGGGGCGCACGCCCCACAGGGCAGACCCGCGCGGCTGAGGAGTAACCTGCCGCGTCTCCTGCCCAGTGACTGCACTTCGTCCGCCCGCCGGGAGCAGAAGCGCGAGCAGTACCGGCAGGTGCGCGAGCACGTGCGCAATGACGACGGGCGGCTGCAGGCCTGCGGCTGGAGCCTGCCGGCCAAGTACAAGCAGGTGCTGCAGGGGGCGCGGGGCACGGGGTGGGGTGGGGAGGGTGCTGGGGCAGCCCTGCAGTGCCCCCGCGGCCCTTCCTGCCCGGGGCCGGCCCTCTGCCCCACGCCTCGCGCCCACGTGGCCGCTCGGCCTTGTGGTTGCAGCTGAGTCCCAATGGGGGCCAGGAGGACACGCGGATGAAGAACGTGCCTGTCCCCGTGTACTGCCGCCCTCTGGTGGAGAAGGACCCAACCATGAAGGTGAGCCGGCCCAGTCGGCCTGGCACATGGGGGTGGGCGGGAGCACCTGTCTCAGGCCCCGCCGCCCCCAGGGGCCAGCGGAGGGGACTGGGCTCCTGACCACACGACCCTTCTCCCAGCTGTGGTGTGCTGCGGGCGTCAACCTGAGTGGGTGGAAACCGAGCGAGGACGACTCCGCGAATGGAGTCAAGCCCCCGCCAGGCCGTGACCCTCTGACCTGCGACCGGGAAGTGGAAGGAGAGACCAAGAGCAATCACACGTCCCCCGAGAAGAAGGTCAGAGTGGAAGGCAGGGCCAGGGACACCTGCTTTGCTGCCGTGTGTGTACTCGGGCTGTGCCCGGCACTGGAGTCTTGTTGGGAGTGACAGAGACAGGATGACTAAGGCCAGGGCTGGAGACTGGGCTCATCTGAGGACCCACCCCCTGTCCAGGGCACGCGGGGCCTGTGCTTTGTCCTCCGCGGGTGGGGAAGTGTGGAGGCCCAGACGCTCTGCAGGCGGTAGGGCTGGAGGGGTCAGGCCACTGGGCGCATCTCTGTCCTTGTGAGCTGTGCACAGGAGGGCGGCATGAAATGATTCACCCACGGGTCCTTGTTCTGTGGCCTAGGCTGACTTGGGGGGCAGGGACTTAGACTCAGGAGCTCAGTTCTCCATGGGAGTGAGGCCACACATGCCAGCGGTCTTGGTAGAAAGTCCAGTCCTGAGTTTTTGTCGCCCTGCTACAAGGGAGGACAGCCGTCTCCCCTAAGGCCACAGGCAAGGTTATCTCCTGATAGAGTCCAGGTGGCCCCACCGCCCCATGCGGCTGCTGGTGTGGCCCGCACCCGGCACCAGCCCCCGTCTCCTGTGCCTCAAAACAGGCAAGAGAGCTCCCCGAGGTGGATGCCACCTCCAGCCGCGTGTGGATCCTCACCAGCACCCTGACCACCAGCAAGGTGGTCATCATCGATGCCAACCAGCCGGGCACCGTGGTGGACCAGTTCACCGTCTGCAATGCCCACGTCCTGTGCATCTCCAGCATTCCAGGTGAGGGCCAGCCCCGCGTGGACGCCCACACCCACAGCGCTGGGGTCTGTGCCGCTCCGCACGTGGCTGCGACGTAGAGGTGGCCCCGGCCTTGCTTGGGACATGATGTGGACACTCGGGAGCCTGTGGGGGTGTCCCCATTAGTGTTGTGAACAACTGGCGAGACCCAAGGTGAGGCCCACTCACCCAACTGGAAGGAGATGCATTGGGCCCCGGGACAGACGGAAATGTCAGTTGGGTGCTGAACGTGGACCTACTGGGGGGCCCAGCTCCCACTGCCCGGCTGCAGCAGGGAGAGCTGGGGGCCCCCCAGGCTTGGCTTTGCCGCACGCCAGCACCTGGGGGTGGCCAGGACCCTGCCGGGGTCCATTTGCTGAGATGACCTCAAGCTCCTCAGACTTCTTAAGGTTCTGTCATGTGACCACAGTCCTTTGTTCAGAGCCCGGAGTCTCACTACTCCACTCTCGCAGGCTTCCCAGGCCTCCAGGTGGTGGTGGCCTGCAGGCCCCCGTGCTGAGGCTGGGCTGGCCTGAGAGGAGAGCCTGGGGCCCACCTCCTCCCCCAGCACCCACACCGGGACAGGAGCCCTGGGTGTGGTCTCGTAGTAGGGGCTTCTTGGTGAGGAGTGACGGGGCGGTGACTCTCCCCCCAGCGGCCAGTGACAGCGACTACCCTCCGGGGGAGATCTTCCTGGACGGCGACGTAAACCCAGAAGACTCCAGTGCAGACGGTGTGCTGGCGGGTATCACCCTGGTGGGCTGTGCCACCCGCTGCAACGTGCCACGCAGCAACTGCTCCTCCCGAGGGGACACCCCGGTGCTCGACAAGGGCCAAGGTGAGTCTGGGCCTGAGCCCGGGCAGCTATCTTCTCTGCGCACCGCATTCCTCCCCACCGCCCAGCCAGCCAGGCTCACCTTCTCCTCACGCAGGGGAGGTGGCTGCCGTCGCCAATGGGAAGGTCAACCCAGCTCAGTCCACGGAAGAGGCCACAGAAGCCACGGAGGTGCCAGACTCTGGGCCCAGCGAGGCGGAGGCAGCTGCGGTGCGGCCCGGGCCCCTCACGGAGCACGTCTTCACTGACCTGGCCCCCACCCCGGCCCCCAGCACCCAGCCTGGCAGGTGGGCGATCTCGGGACGGGGCAGACAGAGGGGAGGGAGACTGGCAGAGGCGGGCGGGGACGGGCTTCCACAGGCCACCCTGGAGCCGCCATCCTTCCTGCAGCGAGAACGGGCAGGAGGCCGACACGGGGGGTGTGCAGCCAGAGCCGGAGCCCAGCGCAGACCCTGCGGGGGCCAGCACCAGCGCTGCCCCCACTATGTGGCTGGGAGCCCAGAACGGCTGGTAGGTGGGGCCCTGGGGCCGCGGTGGGGGAGGGTCCCCGGGCAAGCACCCCGCCCACCACGGCCTCCTCCCACAGGCTCTACGTGCACTCGGCTGTGGCCAACTGGAAGAAGTGTCTGCACTCCATCAAGCTGAAGGACTCCGTCCTGAGCCTGGTGTATGTGACCGCCAGCAGAGGCCAGGGCACGGGAGGGGCCCAGGGTGGCCTGGCCTCCACCCGCTCACCACCATTCCGTTCCAGGCACGTGAAAGGGCGAGTGCTGGTGGCCCTGGCAGACGGAACTCTGGCCATCTTCCACCGAGGCGAAGGTGAGGCCTGGGCCGAGCAGCCACCCCTGTGTGAGCAGAGCTGGGCCCCGGCCGGGTGTGAGCAGGTGTCTTGGGCTCTCTGCAGATGGCCAGTGGGACCTGAGCAACTACCACCTGATGGACCTGGGCCACCCACACCACTCCATCCGCTGCATGGCCGTCGTGTACGACCGCGTCTGGTGTGGCTACAAGAACAAGGTGCACGTCATCCAGCCCAAGACGATGCAGATCGAGGTGAGTGCTGGCGGCAGGAGGGTCTCCATGCAGGGGCGGTCAGCTGAGGTCACTCCCAACGTGCCTTCTAACAGGCACTGGGGGCTTCGTGGGGTCACGGGAGACGTGCTCGGGGAGACGACGTCACCGGCCAGGCTGCGAGTGCGTCTGTCCGGATCCCACCTGCTGCTGCACTCTGTGACAAGTCAGAGTGACACCACGTGGGCCCCACATGCCTCCCCTCGGCCACCCGGCCGTGCGCGGAGAGGGCCGGTGGGTGGCGACAGCTCCTCCTAGGAGCCTGGACCTTGAGGAGCAAAGCAGGCAGTAGAGGGGAAGTTGCAGTGACCCGGTGGCCGTGGCGGGGTCAGAGTACCCCCCCTGCCCCCACTGACGCAAGCTGCCGTGACTCCACAGAAATCGTTTGACGCCCACCCACGGCGGGAGAGCCAGGTCCGGCAGCTGGCGTGGATCGGCGACGGGGTGTGGGTGTCCATCCGCCTGGACTCCACGCTGAGGCTCTACCACGCCCACACCCACCAGCACCTGCAGGACGTGGACATCGAACCCTATGTCAGCAAGATGCTGGGTGAGGGGCTGCGACGGCTCGGGGGGCGGGCAGGGAGGGCCCCTGGCCCCGCCATGCTGACTCACCCCCCCCTCCCCCCCAGGCACAGGCAAGCTGGGCTTCTCCTTCGTGGCAGCACTGTCCAGCCAGCCCTGCTCGATCGGCAGAGCCGCCTCTGGTGGGCACCCGACGCGCCGTCATCTCATCCGCTGACCGAGAGTACGTCCCCCTCCACCCTGCTGCTGCCAAGGTCAGTCGAGTCAGGGGTTGGGGCGGCTGTCTGCCCGGGCCGTACTGGGGCTCCCGGGCTGCCTTGCCTCCGAGCCTGCGCGCCCCCCCCCCCGCCCTCCGGCCCGTGACTCCTCTCCTGTCTCTTCCATGTTCCGTCCCCCCCATCTCCCCCAGCCGTGGTCCTGCACCGAGGCCAGCTCCTGGGGCTCCGGGGTAAGTCAGAGCACCTGTCTCCCGCCCCTAGAGGGAAGCCCCCGCTTGAGAGGCCCTGTGGGCCGAGGCCGGCCTCGCCCCTCGGCGAGGGCGCACTCCCACCCTCTGCCCCTCGCCCGCTAGAGATCTGGTCTCCTACTCAGGCTCGGGTCCTGGGGCCCTGCTCTCTCTCCAGCCAACAAGACCTCCCCCACCTCCGGAGAGGGGGCCCGTCCGGGGGGTGTCATCCACGTGTACGGTGACGACAGCAGTGACAAATCAGCCAGCAGCTTCATCCCCTACTGCTCCATGGCCCAGGCCCAGCTCTGCTTCCACGGGCACCGCGACGCCGTCAAGTTTTTCGTCTCTGTGCCAGGTGAGGAGGGGCCCGGCCCACCCCCACTGCAGGGCCGTGCGTGGCCTCCCTTCGGCTGCCCCGCTGAGGCCCCTGTGCCCCGACAGGGAACGTGTTGGCCACTCTCAACGGCAGCGTGCTCGACAGCCCGTCCGAGAGCCCCGGGCCGGCCGCCCCTGCCTCTGAAGCCGAGGGCCAGCAGCTGAAGAACGTGCTGGTGCTGAGTGGCGGGGAGGGCTACATCGACTTCCGCATCGGTGAGTGGGCGCTGCCCGGGTCAGCGCGTCCCCAGCAGGGCTGTCTCATCACCGCGGCTGCTGTCTCCCTAGGCGACGGAGAGGATGACGACACGGAGGAGAGCGCGGGGGACGTGAACCAGGTGAAGCCCTTGCTGTCCAAGGCCGAGCGCAGCCACATCATCGTGTGGCAGGTGTCCTACAGCCCCGAGTGAGGCTTCGGCTTCCGGCGCCCCTCCCGCCCGACGCCAACGTGTACATACGACCCCGCCCGCCTGCCCACTGCCCGCCCTGCAGGCAGCCCGGCGCCAGCCCCTCTTCTAACCTCTCAACCTGCAGCTTTCACCTTACGGCCGGGCGTCCCTGACAGCGGGCGGCAACGTGGGTCAGGGAGGCAGGGAACCCGGGTGGCGCTCTCACCAGGGAGGGGAAGGACCTCTCCAGACAGACGTGCTTTCCCCGGCAGCTTGTGGCCGGCCCCCCATCCCAAGTTCCCACGTCCCAGGGGCCCTTTGGGGCCAGAGCGAGGCAGGATCCCGTGGTAGGTCAGGCTGGGAGGAGGCCCCACAGGCAGCTCCCAGCTCCCCCCGGGGCCCCCCCACTTCCCGTGCTCCTGGAGCAGGAGGCAGGGATTTCCGCCCGCCAAGTCTTCCCAGCCGGAGCCCACTAGCCTTTGCCTGCTGCCTGAAGGGGGGGCCTGACCCTAGGGGGGGCCGGCCCAGCCACTAGCCTTCCCTGGACGCTCCCCACCCCGCTCCCTGGCACCCCGGGAACTGGCATGAAAGCGCGTGACCAGCCTGCCTAAGGCAGCTGCCCTCTTTCTGCTCGCTCTGTCGGGCAGGAGACCCCCCTGGCAGGAGCAGGCTCTGGAGTCCTACCCATCCCAGAAACCCCTAGGGTGGAATTTCTCAGGCTGCCAGGGCAAGCCCAGGCCTCAGGAAGAAGGGGGAGGCCCCTGGCCTCTCCTGGGGTCGGTCCTAAGATACAGGCTCAGCCTCAGGGTGACAGGGGAACTTGTCTGGGGACTGCCTCCCACAGTTTCCAAGGAGCCCAGCTCCCGAGACACACTCTAAGTGCCTAGGGCTGGCAGTGTGGCCGGCTCTGGGTGTGGATGGCCACTTGCTTTGAGGGGTGCCGCCCTGGACTGCTGCTCCCTGAACCTACTGGAGAGGGGCGCTGGTTGGGGCAGCCCCCGGCCCTGCTGCCCACCCACCTCCCACCAGAGAAGCACACATCTCCGGCAGCCTCCCCAGGAGCCCAGCCGGCCTGGCCACAGCCCCGTGCAGCTGCAGGCTTCCCCCCACCACCCTGCCACCCTCCACTGTGATGTACGTTCAGTCCCTTGTCTGTTCCCACAGGCCGTGCAGTGACTCGGGGGCTAGCTGGGTGGGTGCGGCTGGGGGGGAGGGGCTGGGCGGACATTCTCCTCAGGCTTTGGCCCTGCAAGCAAACCCACGTATCTGCTCTGTATGTAATAAATGTCTTAACACGTAGCTCTGTGTCCCTGGGCCCAGACCAAGGTGAGCATAAGCACTTCACTTTATTGTAAACAGAAGTGCCGGCCAGCCTCAGCGCTGGCCCGAGTGCGTTTCCAGGCGGGTCGCAAACCGGCCGGCCCCTGGGGCCCGCGGGCAGGGCTACTCGTACAGC